GAGGGACGTTTAAACAAATACACAACATTGCAGTGATTAATTTTCAAACGCTATTTTATCAAAATATCCACTTTTTTGTGCAGACTATATGATCCATGGTTTCAAAGAGATTATTTTCATATTTGAATCAAAATATTTTCGTTCTGCTCCTTCTTGATCCCTCTGATTTTCATTATTTTGATTGCAGTTTTACATTTTTTCCCCTTCTAAACAAGATATGTCCGTACACAATACAATGAATTTAACCGACGACTAGGCAAGGGAAAAGACAAATAATGATTATATGCTCTTGAGTAAACAAGTAAGTGCTACAATAAACTATACAGATAGCAAGAATCACCCAAATACAGGACAGTAAGACGGATGGCATCTACCAACAATTGCAAATGATTCAAACTAGCTTTACGTTCGCTCAAACCTTCCCTTTTGTCTATATAAATTGTATATCGTATAACTAAATTTAGGCAACAGTAGCTTACCGATGTTCAGATCACAGAATTTGAGTAAAAAGATCCAAAATTAAAGGAAACACCAACACATGAGGGAATCAGGCTAACTTCAAAGGAAGCGCAATAACTTGGTGTGTCGATAGTATCTTCTTCTACGAATGCAAGACCAGTCATGCGAAATTACATTTAGTCAAAATGTGACTATCGGTAAAACTACCGATCAATCGACCTTTCTGATTTACAAAGATCATTAAGATCTAAAACTGTGAAAACATGTCGATAGTTAGACACATGTCGTATCGGTCAACCAATTCGTATTATACAGTATTGAATTCAGTGATTCGTCCTCATAAAATGTATGTAAAAAGCACCCTTTGAATGAAGCCAGTATAATGTGAACGAGCATGAGCGTAACGTATTTATTGAGCCATGGCACTGCTTAGAAATGGCAGGTTAACAATTCTAATAGGACGTTCTTCAAACGATTTGAGTACATACCCGTTGAAAAATTAAAATATATAGATATGTCAGCTGATTGTCAACTTCATGGATTGTTTGGGCTGACCAAACTTATTCTCACGTCGTTTGCTTTTTTTGAACAAGTTACCCAAGGTCAGGCGGTGTAAATAACGTCATTTCAGGATGACGTTAGAATGTAAGCGTTCTACGAGGAAATGCACGAATGTGATACTGAAAGTCGTCAAAACATGAAAACATTAACAAACAATGAAAGTAATTTGTTGAAAGCCCATTTCTTAAATAAAAGTAAAATAATCAATTAAGTTCATCAAAACCTGTCTTAGTATGTTATTGTTAATCGTTTAGGCATGTCACTAATTCAGTGTCTTCGTCGTTTACGTCCTTATAAACATTTCCCGTCACCTAGAGCGCTTCGATCCAAAATTATTCCGTCTTTGACCTATAAGAATAGAACTGACTCATAGGGGCTTGAATTTGCATTGATGTTACCACGGGTTGGCCCTATATATACTGATATTTTACCCTTCGCTATCTCTCGTGGTGAAATATTAAACAAAAAAGGGCCAACCCGTGGTTAAATCACGATAACTTCAAGCCCCATGAATTATTACTTAATTTTAAAGTTGATGTGGACGCTTTTGTGATTTGAAGTCGTTAATCTGTCTCAAATAAGTGAAAGTGACACAATTGTCATCATTATAGCGTCATTGTCATGAGCTATAATGAATTAATGAAATAGACTCAAACTTGAATTGCAAAACTGATTAGAAACTCGAGATCTATAAAAAATTAATCTGAATGAAATTGTTAAAAAAAAGTAAAATCACAAAAATAATGAACTCCGAGAAAAATTCAAAACGGAAAGTCCCTAATCAAATGGCAAAATCAAATGATAAAACACATCAAACGAATGGACAACAACTGTCATATTCCTGACTTGGTAAAGGCATTTTCAAATGTAGAAAATGGTGGATTGAACCTGGTTTTATAGCGCTAAACCTCTCACTTGTATGACAGTCGCATCAAATTCTATTACATTTACAACGATGCGTGAACAAAACAGACATAATAGGTAACATTGTCAAAATATGGGTACAGCAGTAATCACTGTGTCACAATCTCAAAACAAACAAACATTTAACAGAAGCACAAAACGCATCTATCAAATTTAACAACCACATTCATTGCTTACTTTTATATGTATTATAAATCAACCCATAAAGGATTGAAATATCTCAAGTCCTGTGACTGCATTCACATCTACTCTTAGTGTAGAGTCGCGTGTTTGACGCCAAAAAATGTAAACGTCACACAGAAAGAAATATAAAATAATTTTGTCGTTCAAAGTATTTTCAAAATTATAATTTCACATGGGGAATGGTGGTATACAGGGTTGAAAAATCAAAAGTTTTTGTTAGAACTAATTTCAGAAAAAGACCGAGATTTAAATTTATCCAGAAGTTCTTTAGAATTTTTAAGAATCCACATGTGGTTAATACCACTACGCGAGTAAAATAATTTTGTCGTTCAAAGAATTTCAAAATTATAATAGAACAATAACATAATGGTATTATAATAGAACAATAACAAAATGGTGGGATCTTTAAAAGTACAGAGCCACGTTCTATGTACCAGAGAAACACATAAATTCACACGTACAAAACACACCAGCAAAAATGAAAGATAATACACACACATTGATGGGATGTATAAGTACCGAGCCACGTCAAATGGATATCACAGAAAACAGACCAAACAGTAAAAGTAATATTAAAAATAGAACAAAGACAAATAAAAGAACAATATAACACGTTATTAAGATGATAAGCAACGTCAGTACGCCGAATCTTTACATCAAGACCATCATGTATTATTTGTGAAGTTGATACGGAATATTTATCAACAAGGTCTTTTTTGAACTTTTTTAGAAAAAGGACGAGACGTTCTTTGACATACCCCTGGTTCATCAACTTTCTGCTCAGACACTGGTGACGTTTTACAAAGTCTGAGTAAGAGCTACAAGCTCTTGAATATCGAATAAGTTGGGAAATGTATATCCCATATACAGGTGAAGTTAAACACCGTCTGGTTCAACTTGTCAATTTTCTGATTTGTCAAAATTCAAGGGTTGAACTGAGTAGATATATTATTCATTATAGAATACCATTTAACATTCAACATTGTATGCAATGCGCATTTTATTTAAAATGGATGAAAACGTTAACACAGAATATATTCATATTAATGACCCCATTAATATGATCAACTTACAAAAAATAAAATAGCATTGTACGGTGATAATTTTTTGAGTGACTGAATTCAGTCACCTGATTGCATCTTTATATCACATAATTCAATAAGTACAATAGAAAGTAACATTACCATTTTATTCGTAAAATATCTATCAAATACATTTGTACTTGTTGCTTCTTAACTAAAACCTATTACTGTTAATTCAGATGAAACAGAATTCGGATTATAGATTAATACAAGCAACATATAACAGGATAACAGTTTAAATGAAATTAACTCTTTATCCTGTTCATTATTTTCACAAAATGTTGACTGAATTCAGTCACACAGCATTTGATAGAAGCTACAAGAAATTGTACTAAATTAGAGTGTTTTCTAAGACTTAAATTACACCAAGTGTGATTACATAGTATACACATCTATAATACAGATGACTGAATTCAGTCAATACAAATTCAGGAAATATTTGTTGAAAAGACCAATTCTGCAGCAGTAAAAAAAATATAATGACTGAATTCAGTCACAAAATTAGGTTTACACATTTATATTCACTAGAGCATCAACTCATAGCAATGTGTATTGCTGTTTAGTTCAGTCAGAAGGGGAATAATTTAGGGATGTCACTCTAGTAACCATTTATAAAAAGACACTGGAAATTATTTCCATGGCGATTATCCCTCCCCCAATCACTGTCTATTGATTTCGAAAATGCATAGTTAGTTTACAGGTTTATGTTTGTGATTTGGTCAGTTTAAGGCTGAACATTAACGGTTATTACATTAGATGTGCAGTTGTACTAGATTTTGCACATCTCATCTCCATAATGATTATTTTCCCTCCCCCAGTCATGATTCGTTGACTTTGAAACTTTTACATAGGGTCAATTTCTATACTTTAATATATCAGAATACTGATGAAAAATGGGTAAGTAGTCATTTAAGTATTGTAATTTAAATTTCAACATTTGCATAATATATATCTATCAAAATTGCACACAGGTGATTCATATCTCTGTATATATTGATTGGTTACTAATACTTGCCATCAAAATTAAGTGAATTTTTGAAAGCTGTTGTTTTAAAATGATACTGTACTAAATAAATGCTTATTCTTATGGTGTGCTGTTACACACACTGTCCCAGCTAGGAGAGGGTTGAGCGATCACAAACATGTTTCTCCCTGCCACCTCCGTTATGTGACTATCCCAAGTCAGGAGCCCGTTGTTCAGTGGTTGTTGTTGGTTCATGTCTGTCATATTGTTTTTCGTAAATTGTAATAAATTAGGCCGTTATTCTTCTCAATTGAATTGGTGTTTAATGTCGGGGTCTTTTATGGATGACCATACAGTATGGATTTTTCGTCGTTGAAGGTCGTATGCCTACGGTTACATCATTTGAACTTTCGTGGAAAGCTGTCTCAATGGTAATCAAATCAAATAGTTCCAAACTTTCCAAATTTTTTTTTAATTATTTATAATTTTATGAAAATGAATAAAAGCAACCTTTGGGATGAACTTTACCTTAACATATTAATTTTTAATTAAAAGGGTTTTTCATTGTTTAAGAACAAAAAATCAAGCACAATTAACTGTTAAGTTTCATTGGTAAGAACACAATTTGCAATTTCACCAAAATACAAAAAACACAAAATACAATGAAAGCCAGAATATACCATATGAAATGTGACAATGTTTTAAATGTAGTGTGTAACAACTAGAAGCATCAAGAAGTCTGACTTTCTCACTTAGAAAGGGTAAAAAAAATTGATAAAAACATTGCGAAAAAATGAAAATAAAATGAAGTGAAATCAAGTTCAACATTTTTATTTTAATGTCTGGATAATATTATTTATTCAATGTAAATCCAGTAAAAACAATTGTTGTCACTTCATAAATTTAAAAAAGCTTGATTTTTTTTCAAGCGAAAAGCGGTTAAAAACTGGATCACACTTGAGACTTACATGTTCATCTTTTAATAATGTTTTGTAGATCATCACAGTATTTAAAGTTTAAAAAAACTGTTTCACAAAAATAGAGATTGTCTAAATTCAACATTGTGATAATATGTATCATTTTGAAATTTCTTCTTTCAACTATCCCATATTAATTTCAATTGTGCTGGCATTTTGTAAAGATTAACATTATCCCACTTAAAAGAGACAAGAATGTGTTCAGTTGTTGTTTGTTCAAGATTTTGGAATCAATGTACCAGTCTGCTACTCCTGTCCAAAATATCCATTAAACCAATCGAATGTGTTGCTGTCACTTTAGTTACTTCTATCCATGGTAAATTCTCCAGACTGTCTGGTCTGATCAATTTCCATTGTTCTGCTTGAAGATGCTGTGGGTACTCATAGAAAGTAAAATCTAAAAAAGAAAACAAATTATTCTAATGATCTATTTCCGAAAAAAAAGATGATTTAGATAGTGAGGATAATACCATTCTTTGTAAATGCATTTCTATTCAGAGTAACGGTACATGTTGCTTCATTTTTTTTTAATTACGTTACTTGTAAAAACACCTTATTTCATAAAAGCATATATTTTTTTTAATTTTAAAGTTTAGTTTAATTACATCAAATACCAGAAACAGTTGATGATTTTAACTATTGCTATATGTTCAACAGTTAGCCGGATTTGTTGAATAGCATCAGACAAAGGACATGGTACAAGATAAGGGACTTATATTTTGGCAGAATATTTTACTTAAATTCTTAATTTTCCTTTTAAATTGAGGAAATGCCAAATTAAAAACTACTATTTTTCGGTCAGTGTCATCACAATCCATCAAAGTTATACACTCTTATGAAGAAAAACCTTAATTTTGAATAAACAATTTTTGACTAATTTCAACAGGGTGTTTACAAAGGTATTGGCAGCATGAATGGACAACCATATGTTTTGTAATAGTGTGAATTTGAACCATATATATAATTTGATAAGTTTTTATTACTCTTAGTATGTGAACAATATTATTCAGATAAAAAGGCCTATAAATGCATAAATACAAGCAATCTGGCTACAATGCATGTATTAAATATTCATTTTTTTAAACTAAAATTTCGAGAAAAAAAATATGTAGTCTTTTCAAATTTGCCTTTTTAAGATATGAATATAAGTCTTTGATTGAATATTGAAAAATTTGACATAAGGACCAAATATAGGACTTCTTGATCCTTCTTCTTTCAAGAGGTCACATGTGCCATTTCAAAAGACGTTTATTTTTAAAGAATATTGACCTAATACATGTAGTATTCATACTTGATATCTTAAACATATTGCTGGTATAAACCTTTGATAAAAGTTTCATAAAATTCTGGCAAGAATTGAACAAATGAGAGCGCTAACATTGCAATTTTCCATAGGATTAATATTTCCAAGGGCAATTGATTTTCGAACTCGTCCAAAACATTGCTAATATTTACCTATAGTATAAATTTTCAAAACTCTGGCAAGAATTGTTCACATTAGAGCATTCATTTGGCAATTTTCACCATAATTAATATTTCTAAGGGGCATAACTCTTTAAAAATAAATGAAAGGCACGGCTTTTTAAATTCGTTCAAGAAATTGCTAATTTAAAACTATGAAATAAGTCTCATAAAAATCTGGCATGAATTGTACACGTGACAGCGCTTAGTAGATGGGACGGAAGGACGAACGCCAATATTTCTATGTCCCCCGCAACGCGTTGCACCGGGGGGAAATATAGTCAATGTAAGTGTATATTAATTGTTGGATCACAATAAATTTCTAACTGTACTACTTGAAATGATTTACCACAAACTGGTATATCGATAAGGATCGCTTTACCAGAAGCTCTGGAAAGGTATTTTTAAATCTAATTTAAATGCTGGAAACCCTTGATACATATTTGATGATAAAGTTTAGAAAAACTCAGTTTTTAAGAAGTCTAGGTCCGATGTTAGAATAGGTAACAGAAGAAACTAAACAAAAGGACAATGATACAGCAATTAACAAAGGACTACTAGCAGTTACTGACATGCCTGTTCCAGACCTCAATTATATGAAAATCAAGATTAGGAATTTAGTATCATACCATCATAAAATATACAAGAAGAACATGACATGCATTTCTTTACTTTTTGTGTGTCTATGATTGTTTAAAAAATAAGGAGATGTGGTATGATTGCAAATATGACAACTATTTACCAAAGTTCAAATGAAGTGGATGCAGGCAATTATAGGTAACTGTACGGCCTTCAACAATGAGAAAAACCCATACTGTATGGCTATATAGTACCGTAATAGTCGGCTATTAAAGGACCGACATGAAAATATAAAGCTATTCAATTGACATAACTAACGGCCTAATTTATAACAAAACAATTTACGAAAAACAAATATGACAGCTGTGAACCAACGACAACTACTGAACTACAGGCTTGATTTTTTTTTCAAAATAGTTATATAAAAACTAGAAACCTATTAAAAAGAATATGAAAGTTCTTCACACACACATAAAGATTCTAACATCAACCTCAGTTGGTCTCTGTAGGATACTTGTCTTACATATCTATATTCAAACTGTATCTTCTGGGCTTTTTTTTAATAGTAAGTTTAAACAGTCAGGGGAATTTTTGAAATAATCACTTATAAATAGCAAAAAATATCAACTTAATTGGGGTCTGAAGCCTTGATAAAAAAATAATTTTGTATTTTGTATTTTGTAGTTTTACTAAAATTTTAAACATACAGGTTTATATTATATCTTATTATGAGTAAATTTGAAAAAAAGAAACCTCTTTAAAATGATTCTTTGAAATAAAATAGAATTATGATATATATTTATACAAGTGATTTTCATGTCATTATCCCAGATTCAGTACAAGGTCATCACCTGACATGACCGGTCATCCTTTAAACACAGATGTTGGTTCTGATAATTTTAGCAAACGTGATTAGTCTCTGGATCATTAGTATATATCTAAAGTTACATAACATTCAGATGTTACTGAACCAGTGATTTAAGATATCACTCATTTAAGTAATTCCCCTGATTGTTAACGGTGATAAATTGATGTTATAAAAAGGAAATTTGACAAATTTATAACCTCACCTTTTTCTTTTATTTTCTTTATTTGAGGAGCACTGTTGATAATTCGAATACACTGCACCCAGGCCACTATTAGAACTTTGAGTTTTTCTTTTCTTTGGTGATTCATCTGTTTTAATACAAATTATACACAGTTTTAAACAGTGCTTAAAAATTAGTTAGAACAGTGCATACAAAAATAAGGGTATATAGGTCATTATCAGAGTGAATGAGAGTACCTTATGGTGCATTTTCAATAAGTTTTCCAAAAACGAGTTTACCCTGGGAGATTATAACGTACAACCACGTATAAAAATATAAAGAGCAAAATATCTTAAAATTGAAAAGTGTCAAGTCTTAATTTACTTTTAAGTTGTTTTGAAGCCTTACATGTATACATAACCAATAAGGATAGGCAGTGGAAATAAAGAAACTTTTCAGTATTAATTTACCCACAATAATGCTTATTATATCTGTACACTTATCATATTGACCACTTCTGATTTAAGCACTGGAGGGATATAAGTTTGCACAAAACTGGCACACAAGTGGCAGTAAGCTTTAACAATTAAACTAAATAAAAGTTATGGCTACTGGATCAAGGCAAATAAATAACCTAACAAATATAAATGTTGCCCAATTTCCTTTATAACATCCAGCAGCCATAACTTTCATTTAGTTTAAATTAGATAATGGTTTACTTTTACAAATTGTGACTTGGATGGAGAGTTGTCTCATTGGCACTCATACCAAATCTTCTTATATCTATTGACTGAGGTCTTAAAACTTTGCAAATAGCATTCTCCGCAGACATATGCAATTATATAAAACATTCCAAACTGTTTTAATAATGGTCAGAAAGTAATAAAATTTGGCACTTATGCTACTAAGATATCATGCTAAGTAAATGTAAAGTTTCATTAGAAATACCAACATTTTGGTGTCTAATAGGCTTCAGACCACAATTAATTCCCCTTGTTCGTGGGATATAGTTCCCAAGTATTAAATTGGGTGTTTCTTGCGAACTATTCTGACTACTGTTTTGTTTGAGATGTTTACTTTTCAAGTGGTCCTATCAGTATCATATTACTATCCCTAAGAACTAAGTTAGTCATTATTCATGTTGATGGTCAATATAACCAAGGATATATAACTAAAATACTAATATACATCCTTGATAAAAATGAATCATGCCAAAGGAATAAAGTTATAATAAATTTCCCCATCAAAAAGTGAGTATCGAGTTATTACTCACTTTTTTTACTCGATACTCACTGTTTTACTCGATACTCACTTTTGACAACTCGATATTCACTTTTTTAACTCGACACTTGGTCTCTACTAAAAGTAAATCTCGTCAATAGAACTATGAAAATTTCAATCGAATAATATTTGCCAGTATTGACAACTTGATGAGTATTATGATATGTGTGTAACTTAGAATTATGCAACATCTCAAAATCCGAAGTGATCACATAGATGAATAAAGAAATGTTAAATGAAAATGGGAATGTTTGGCTACTCAAGACAAAACAATCCCGAATTAACTGTATACCTCCATTTCTTATTCATTAACATATACCATAACATAAAAATATGACAAACATTTTTGTATTCTAAATGAACTTGGGCAAACCTCGGTTTTTGTCGAGCCTTCGACTTTTGTCGAAAAAGCGAGACATAGCGATCCTACATTCCGTCGGCGTCGTCGTCGTCGTCGTCGTCGTCGTCGTTGTCGTCGGCGGCGTCCACAAATATTCACTCTGTGGTTAAAGTTTTTGAAATTTTAATAACTTTCTTAAACTATCCTGGATTTCTACCAAACTTGGACAGAAGCTTGTTTATGATCATAAAATTATATTCAAAAGTAAATTTTGTAAAAAAAAAATTCCATTTTTTCCGTATTTTACTTTAAATGGACTTAGTTTTTCTGCCAGGAAACATTACATTCACTCTGTGGTTAAAGTTTTTGAAATTTTAATAACTTTCTTAAACTATCCTGGATTTCTACCAAACTTGGAAAGAAGCTTGTTTATGATCATAAGATAGTATCCAGAAGTAAATTTTGTAAAAAAAAAAAATCCATTTTTTCCGTATATTACTTATAAATGGACTTAGTTTTTCTGCCAGTTAACATTACATTCACTCTGTGGTTAAAGTTTTTAAAATTTTAACAACTTTCTAAAACTATCTTGGATTTGTACCACACTTGGACAGAAACTTGTTTATGATCAAAAGCTAGTATCTAGAAGGAAATTTTGATAAAATTTTGTTCCATTTTTTCCGTATTTTACTTATAAATGGACTTAGTTTTTCTTCCAGTCAACATTACATACAGTCTGCAGTTTAAGTATTTAAAACATTTATTAGATTCATAAATTATCCTGGATTTTTACCAAACTTGGACAGAAGCTACTTACAATCAAAAGATAGTATAGAGAGGAATATTCTTATTTATTTTTTCCACATTTTTGTTGAGCCTGCGATTAACAGTAAAAGTAGGCGAGACACTGGGTTCCGCGGAACCCTTACGAATTTTTCATATTCATATTCAGAAATCATATTTTAAATATCAATGAATTTTTTTCTCTTCATATTTTCTATGGATTAAAAAGTATATCTTACCAAAACTCTCCGGCATAAGTAAGCTTCGGACTCTTCTTCCTTGAAAACGAAATTCCATTCAGCTTATTTTCATTTCTAGGGGACTCCATCTTTCTCTTTCTTTGACCAAAGTACGCAACAGAATGACCTCGTTTACTGGTTGTGATAACAAAACACGCGCCTATATGGATATGACATAATCCCCCACTGGCCACAGCATAATCCTCGATTAATAGTGTATCGCGGAAGTTCTACAACTTTAAAGACGTAAGACATTTAAATGCATATTTTGTCCAAATTTCTACTTGCATTTTTCAGATTATTATATTTGAAAAAAATTTCATGAAAAAAAATTTAATTTATACTCCCAGTTTTCTAAAAGCAGACTAAAACATATTTTGTTTGACTCAAATCAGCTGCAACAGCATCAAAACAAAGAACAAGGAAGGTCATGATGTAACTTCAAAGCAATCCCACCTCAGGATATCACTTACTAATGACTGCTGACCAGACAGAATAAATGATCTTTAACCAATTGATTAGATCAAGCTACTTAAATTAAATAACAGAACTATAGTGTAGAATTTATCATGAAAAATCAGTACAAAATCGAGGAAAATCAGTACTATAATCGGGGGAAAATCACTTTCTGCCGTACTCGGTTATAGGTAGTGTAAGAATAACCATAGAAGTATTCAATATAATACTTCCATGTTATTACTGTGTCTTGGGTCAGTCAGAAGGATATAACACACACTGTTTCATTAAGATTAGCATCCCCATGATAGTACTTATAATCAGATGATAAGAAACATGTTTATTGCCCACTGGATATAACCCTCTTGGTTCTATCATTATTGTCATATGGTGGTCATTATTCTCGAAATATCATATTTGTTGAAAGTATATTATATCTAAATCAAATGTTACCGTAAATTCATATTATCAAATAACTTCTTTTCACTGTTAAACTGCAAAGTTTTATGCAGCGTAATATTCTCAACTTTTTTTTGGAGAGATTTAATTTCATCTTCAGACTGAAATGCAGTTTTAAAACTTTACTTGGCAGAAAGTCTATTGAAAATAAATCAAGTCGGACTTGCTTGTTATCGTGGGTGTTCGGTTGAAATTAACAATCGAACATAGTAAGAACTGAAATCGTGACAAAACCGCATAAAACGAATATTCTGTTGAAATAAATCTTGCAGCGAAAATATATTGTCTCATATACAACTTTAATTAATTTCAATTTTTTGACATGTATGTAGATATATTCTTCGGCATAAATTGATTGGATTCAATCTGATGCTGTGATTAGTTCAAATAAGGGGAAAATAAATCCCCACGAGAATGACTAGTTAATATTTCAAGCCATGCTTAAAATTACGGATAAGTTGCTCAAAGTGGGATATTTTTTTATTTTACTTTTATGTGGAAATCGAGAGGTTCTTATATTGTTATTTTTCTCATAGTGCTATTATACATTAACTGCCTTTTGCGTAATTTAAGCCACATTAATTCATAAAATCAAATTGTGAATTATAGAAAATATCGTTCTTATTACGGAAAATAATACGCATGACGTCCCGCAGAAAGTGACGTTTTGATGAAATTCGAACGCTTGACGTCGCACCAAGCATTCGGAATCCTTAGGTTTTATTCATGCAGTGCTATTAAAAAAAATTACCCACTCACCCCTACCTTTCCTTCCACAATTTTGATTACATATAATTTAGATTGTCATATTTGAAAATCTTTTAAACTCCTTTCTATATTTCATTGTTTTTGAAAGAAAAAAGGTACCGGTTAAATTTAAGAAAAATCTACAGAAAATTATTTCCCGCCAAATTTTCAATGGTTTATATCTCAAAAACAAGCACACGGACCCTTCATTATTTTCTGCTTTTTTAATTTCTTTATTTTTATACTATCAATATATAACAGTCTTCGAAAAAGCCTGTTACTTTAAAAATGAATAGCGAATATCCTAACGTCAAACTAGTCAAATCTGTAAAATAATAAACAGGCAGTAAAACAATTTATAGTTCACTTTTTATACGCCCGTTTACGGGACGTATTATGGTGTACCGTCGACCGTCTGTCCGTCTGTCCGTCCGTCCGTCGTTAACATGTCGGACATTAATTCAAAAACGCTTTAACCAATATACATGAAACTTTGGTGAATTGTTTATATCTGTCGACGTGAGCTCCCTTTCGTTTTCTATAAATTTCACATTTATCATTTCCGAGTTTTGGGGTTTATTCATTAAAAAAGGGAGGATTTTCCAGTTTTCGGACAATAACTCAAAAACAATTTCACTAATTTGCATGAAACTTTTGTGAATTGTTCATACCTATTGACGTGAGCTCCCTTTCGTTTTTTTATAAATTTCGAATTTATCGTTTCCGAGTTTTGGGGTTTTATTCATTAAAAAGGGGGGATTTTCCAGTTTTTGGACAATAACTCAAAAAAAATTTCACCAATTTGCAAGAAACTTTTGTGAATTGTTTATTTCTATCGACATGAGCTCCCTTTTGATTTTTATAAATTTCAGACTATACGTTTCCAATTTATGGGGTTTTATTCAATACAAAAAGCGTGATTTTCCAGTTTTCGGACAATAACTCAAAAATGCTTTCAGCATATTGAAACTTTGGTAAATTGT